ATGAGCTGCAGTCACCCAGTCCTTGCTGCTGCTGCTGCTGCTGCTGCTGCTGCTGCTGCTGTTGTTGTTGTTGCTGCTGGAAGTTTTTACTGGGAATCATGACAAGCGGGGCACAGAGACCAGCATGAAGAGTAGTAAGTTTGGGACCAACTTTTGCTTTTGGGGGGAAGAGCAAGCCCTGGTCACACCGGGGGGGTGGGGGGGGAGAAGGCGACATGGTGGTGGTGGATTTTTTTTTCCTCTTTGAAATCAGAGCAGAGAGAGAGACGGAAAACTTTTCCTCTTAAAGGCAAAGTTGTGCTCTCAGAGCGCAGTCCCATGCTGAGCCCTGCCATGGTTGCCATAACTTTGTCTCCTTCCTCACTCCCCCCCACCCCCTTCCTTGTGTTTTCCACTAGGGATCTGTTTGTCTGACAGCCTTTTTTTTTTTAGTCTAGGACTCGATGAATGGGGCTGAGGGCAGGCTGGCTGCATCTAAGGAGGGGGAGTGTGATGCTGGGGGGGTGTCATTTGTGGCTTGGTAAAAAGCTGCGGTGTCCAGGAAAGGTGGGATCTGGTGGGCTCTGCACCGCTCGGTTGGGTCCCCGTCCCTGGTCCCTGGCAAGGGGAGATGGGGAAAGGCCATGAAAATCCACATGGACTTTCCAGAAAGACCCACAAAGTTGTAGGATGCTGGCAGCGACCGGGGGCTATTTTTCAGCTTTGTGACTTGAGCAGCGCACGAAGCAGAACCTCTCATTGACATTTGGGGAAGTTTGATTAATGTTTTGGCGCGGGGGGTTAATAGAAAAATAAGGTGTATTTTAATCAACCAGGACTTCGGTATGTTTTCTGTTTCTGAGGTCACAGAGGGGCCCATTAACTTAAAAAATATCAGGTCACTATTCCAGACACCAATGTCAAGGCTCTGAAGTGCGTTGACTGAAAAATGTGGGGCCAAGTCATGAGTTAAAGTCCATCTTCTGTTCCTCCACAAGTGCAAGGACACTATGTGGTGAGAACAGAGTATGTGTGAGCAAGCGACAGATGCAAAGGGACCCATCACAGAGGACGCAAGATATGTATGCTCCTTGGGGCTTGGCCCATATCGACTTTGTACAGCACCTAGCATCTTGTGGATGCTACGTGTAATAAACAATACTTTCAAATGAGCCTGGTTTTCATTTAATCCATTTCATTACAACTATAAAGGAGCCATCAAACTCTTTGCCATTCAGGCAGCTTTTTTCAACTACGCAATTGAAACCTATGGATCTTGATGGCATCATGTTACTTTCCTGTTGGTTTTAGGAAAAGTTGATCATTGAGAAAACTGCCAGAGTTAAAATGCAAGGGGCAGCAAAGGAAAGTAGTGGTAAGAGCCAGTTTCTGACGTGGACAAAATGAGGATAAAAGTTACAGTATTCTTTCTGAGCTCCAGACAGTGTTTTCCTCATGTTCGCAATACGTACATTAGGTTAGAGAGCTCTGTCAGATATTCCACCAGAGTGACATTTAAAAAAAAACAAAAAACAAACTCCAAAAGAGTGAGGATTTTTTTAAAGTACTGTGGGTCTATGAGTAAATACAGGGCTTGTTTGAGAACATCAACTATTTCCTGTAAATTGTGATGCTGACAAGACTGTCTGGAAATGATATCAACACTTTGGAAGATTTTTTTTTTTCAACTACCGAGTGAAAGTTTGTTAATAACATAGTTGATCCAAATAAGTGGAACACTTTAAAAAAAAAAAAAAAAAAAAGGAAGGGGAAAGTCTTCCTTCCTTTTTCTTTTTAAAAGTTACATATAGATATAGTTTTTTGATAAACTGTAAGTTGGTCAGTAAGTTTCATAGTTACTCATAATGTAGTTGATAAGTGCACCCATACTCACGTACAAATTAAAGCCTAAAATATTTACGACATCAAGATATTATGTTTTATATTTAAAAGGAGGAGGAAATTCACATATGAAGGCAACGCTCATATCATAATCTGTCCTGCTGTTTCAGAATATCATGGTTTTATGGCATGTTATAACTTCAGCCTGCTTGATACTAGTTGCATATAGGTAGGCGCAACAAAGTAAAATAAAGACAAAGTTGCATCAGCTTTTAAGTTAGTTCCCCCCCTCCCCCCCGCTTTCTTTCCACCCCACCTTGTCAAGCTGTAAATCAGACCTCAGTATTATTTGGAGATTTTGTGTGAGAGCATGATTGAATTATTTTACCTTCTGATTATGGTAATAAAGAAAAATCAAAGTGATGTTGAAAATCTGTGAGATCTGAGGATTCTTTGGCTTGGCTAGTAAGTTCACTGTTAAGATTTAGCCTAGTTTCCCATATTATTTTTCCATAGATTAAATGATAACTTTCAGCATTATTGTAGGATACGTTGTGAGTTTAAGAGTAGAGTACATTCTGTGTTATTTTATAGATGTTCATAGTAAGGATTTGTATCGACCACATTTTATGTATCATTCTTAATGTACTTTCATTGTATACTCTATTGCCAGGCATGCTGTCAATGTGTGGGGAAGAATAATACATTCAAATATGAAATGAATAATAAAAAAAGTTTAAAATCTTGTAAGGTGGAGTTTCTGCCTAAGTGCAGTGATTTCTTAGTATTTCTTAAATCTTAGTATTTCATCCATGTTATATATTTAATACTAATCGGCACATGCTTTGCATGCTCCCTGCATGTGAAAGAGCTAAAAATAATATTACTACAAATATTTAAAATTTGAATTGAAAACACGACTTCAGGTATTTATTTAATCGCTTGCCCTTTACCTGAAACATTTGTCCTAACTTTAGAGTGTGTGTGTGTGTGTGTGTGTGTGTGTATGTACATGTATGTGTGCTTTTGAAGAATATATATGTCTCTTATTAACCCATGACAATATTTTAATGTAACAGTAGTAATGGAAACATTCTCTGATCTCAACTTCAGCTATACTAGCAGTATTGCTGTAATAAGAGTTTGGGGGTAGCACCAAATATAACATTGTGAGAGTTTTGTGTTAAAAAATATTTAACTGTAAAGGTTGGAAATCTGACAACCCTTTTTGTTAAGTGAAGGTAAAGTGGAAATAAATTACTTTTCTAATACTGTTTCACTTAAAACAAACTTGTCACCTTCTAATAAAAGTATTGGCCCTGAACAGAAATGTACTCTGATTAAGATACTCTGCTAGTGTGTAAAAGGAATCCATTCATTCAGTAGACTGACAACTTTCCAGTTGGTGTTTGCCCTTGCTTAATTTAGTTTCCTCAGCACAACTAAGTGAGGTAGTCTGGATCTGTTTTTGGCAGTCTTGGGCAACTATAAATGCAGACCTTTCTGCCCAAATATATTACACTTCACAGGTCAAAATGTAATTGATAAAAAATAAGGCAGGTATATCGGATGTTAAGGAGGAAATGTTTCAAAGGGTCATTGTTTTTCTTTCTGAGACTTTCTTTAAGTTCTTGGATAATAAGGTAACATTGCTATTTTCAGATATTGATGATTAATACTGAAAACTGCCGAGTCTGCACCCATCTGCTATATAAATACCATTGCCTGTTGATCTTTGGATGCATTAATTACAGTATATCTTGGTTACGGTCTTACTATTTTTGTCTGTCCATAAAATAACTAAAAGTACCCTTTCCAGTCCTCCCAGAGAAGGAAGAGAATGGCTTTTTTTAGCAGTGTCATAGATCATGGCATTCCCTTCCACATAGTGGGACAACACAGTTTTGATTTAGGTTTTGATAGAAAGATCTGTGCCCAAAATGAGAATATTCTAATTACTTTAAGGAGACTTTTAAATTCAGTTTAGTGTATGAAAAAGAGCTCTGTAGGAAAAGATATTTCTAAGCATTGATTTTTTTTTTTGATGTTGTGTTTTTGCTAAAATGTATGAGAGACGTCAGATGATGCGACGCACCAAAGTGCAGTTTTATGTAGATAGTTTTTTGCAGGAACAAGACATCTAGTAATACTTTTCTTGTCACATTTGCCATTGTGTTTAATCATTATAGAGGCCACCAAAACTGAACTACTAGCTAGCTGTATATTTGCCCAGAATATAAGGGGGGAAAAAAAACCTTTTAAAGTAACATTGTAGTACACTAGTGTTTTTTGTCTTCTGGATCAAAGTTCAAAATAGACAAGGAGCAATGGTGGATTAAATATGTTGCTCTCAATTTAGTCCCTAGTGGACATTTTGTCGCATCTCAAAAGCACCACACAGTTGAACACCATATGATGTGCTGTCTGCAGTCAGAGGAAGCCCTCCTGCATTGGCATCACAAGGGTTAGAGCACTGGCGGAGGTGAACTGGCAGAGTTGTATGAAAGAAATCTTGTTTAA